TTAAATGATTGATTTTATTTTAGATCTATAATTTTTTTGAAGTTAAAATTTATTATTATATGATAATCAAATCAATTTAACTTAAATTGGATCGGTGTGGTTCAATCAGATTAATTGATTTTTTTTATTATTAATATATGAAATAAGATAAAAATATATTAATATCAAATAAAAAATATAACTATAAAACACATTAACATCTAAATTAGTAAAAACATAATAAAAGATATAAATTATAAATAAGTTTTTATACTCCTTTACATTTGTAAACATCGAAAAACTCTGAAAATTTTTTTTAGTTATATTACTAGAAGCATAAAAAACAATAAAAAATAACTTCAAGTTTTTAACATAACATAAATAATTCTTAAAAGTTAAAATTAGTTTTTTTTTCTTTAATGCACTAATAATTTAATCACATCTTCTAAATCATGTTAAAAGTAAATAAAATTTAACATAAATATCACTAAAATTTATTAGAAACATTCATAATCAAAATTTAAAACTTCTAAATCAAATATTCAATAATAGTAGAATATCAAGACTAGATTTATTATATTGTTTTAAGACTTTTAGAATAATACTTTTTTAAAACTTAGTTAGAAAAATCATAATATTATTTTAGAAACAGATTAAAAATTCATGATTCTAAGAGTAAAAGCGCAAACCAATTTTTAGAAGATGGAGTTACAGGTGAATTAGAGATTTAGAATTAGGGTTAGGGTGCATGATGAAAATGGAAAAATAACTTAAGGAATATGAAAATGTTTTATTTTTTTTTAATTAAATTAATGAAGTTATTATCTTGTAAATTTTTTTTAAAAAAAAAAAAAGAAGAAGAAATTTTAAAATACCACAAAAAATTATATTATATTATTTAATTAAGTTATTTTGTAATCGGATTTTATTTTGTAATTATGCAGTTCTGGTGGTTTGAAGATAAAATCACAAACTAAATTAATTATATCAGTTTTAAAATTTTATAATTTAAACCAATCTAATTTTATATTAGTTTGGATTGGTTTTTGATTGGATTGGATTGGATTGGATCAGTTTAGATCGGATTAACCAGATTGGATCAGATATGAACACCCCTAGTTGCCGGCTAAACATTAATTCTCTATTATTTA